GGCTACAGGAAATGTGCCGATCTGAGCAACACTCTCCATAAGGCTCACTAGACGGACCAAAGCATCCTGAAGCACTGGGGTGGCTATGAAGCCCTTTGGAACCTGAGCTGGTCCGGCAAGAACAGTCTGGGCTGGAACCTCATCATCAAGTTCCACTTGAGGCTCCGCTACTGGTGTTGCTGCTCAAGCTCTGGGCTAAGCCCTGCCCTTGCCCCGGCCTCTAGCACAGCCTCGGCCTCGTCCTCCGCCCCTCATAGGAGCTGCCACTGGGGGCTCTGGCTACATCTCAGTTGATGAAGCGATACGTGTTCTCGCCATCTGCGAAGGATCAAGAGTAGAGAGCTAAATTAGCATTGAGAGATCAAATCGCACGACAGAGAAGAATAGAAGTGAAATTGTTCCTAAACTATGTTGCCTATGGGGATAAGCACAGATGTCTCCGTACCGATCACTCAAACTCTAATAAGCTTGTTCGTGAATTATGTGACCTAGGTGACCTAGTGCTCTGATACCAACTTGTCACGACCCGGGATTCCCACCATCGGGACCGTGATGGCGCCAAACATCACACTTGCTAGGCAAACCAACGTTAGAGTATTATTAACTAATTTCCTTTACGTTTCAGTGATTAAAAATAAACAAGCTAAAACAAGTAGAAATATATGTGGAAGTAAGTAAATAGCTTCTTTGTTTATATACTATTACCAATACTATTGTTATTACTAGCCAGAATCCGGTGTCACAATCCACGAACACACTAAGATTTTGCTACAAACATTTGTTCGAAAGAAGATACAACTGTTTATGAAGGGAAGTAAAAACAGTAAATGTAGGAGCATAGAAGGGGACACCAGGGCCTGCAGACGCCAGCAGGACTACCTTGGGTCTCCTAGCTGAAAATATCTTCACCCGACCTCTCGATCAGCCACTACCTACTCCAAAATCTGCATAGAAAGTGCAGAGCGCAGTATCAGTACAACCGACCCCGTGTACTGGTAAGTGTCGAGCCTAACCTCGACGAGGTAGTGACGAGGCTACAGCAGGGCAATTACAATATAACCTGCATACAGTGTATAATTAAAGCAGAAAGAAGGACAGGATAAAATAAAGCAGTAACTTGCAAGTAATGAATACAGAACTCAAATGTCTTATCAGTATCCAGCTATAACCAATCCTTAAGTGAAATGCAAAGCTACAGAATAACCTACACAGTAGAAGAAAGATACATAAAAACATAAACTGATGCGGCGCGCATCCCGATCCCACCATATATCAATATCAACATGAATATTCACCCTTACTACTCCTTATCAATCCACCCTTATTCCTCCTGTTGCGGCCTGCAACCCGATCCCACCGTATAATAGCATTTCATCCTTATTCCTCCTTAATATATCACCCTTATTCCTCCTTTTGCAGCGCGTTACTCGATCCCACCATATCATCATCAATTACTCAATAAGTACAGAAATTTCACAATTAACTCAAAACTCTTCACAATATTTAAACCTCAAACCAAAGCAAATGGAAAGTTTGTACATTATGAAACTTCACACAAATAATACTACTCAGCGAAACCAATCCAAAATATACCATAAAACACTAATAAACCAGCTTAAGCCAATAATATGAGACAATGAAACTACGGGGTAGCTAATACCTTCAACAATGAAAACAATATCTGACAAATAGCAATTAAGCATGGAAATACCGGTAAAGCATGTAGCAGTTAAGGCAGGAAAAGGGCAATATAAGAAGAACGGGGAGGAAACATGCAAAATAGATAAATTGGTGGCACTTAGGTACTCGTCACCTCACCTATACACCACTCACATGGATTTTCACATAGCAAATAAGTCAAGGGTTCCTAATCCCTCGAGTCAAAGTTAGACATGACACTTACCTCGATCTACAGGCCACTCACTACTCAATTACCGCTTTTCCTCTAGATTCCACCTCCAAACCACTCATATCTAGCCATAATTAACTTAATAACATCAAATATTGCTAAAAAAATCAATTTCAATACATAAATTTAGGTTTCCCAACATTTCTCCCCAAAAGTCAAAAATCGACCCTGGGCCCGCTTGGTCAAAACTTGATGTACAGACCAAAATCCATCACCCATTCACCCCCGAAACCGAATATGTAATTAGTTCCGGAATTCGACCCCAAATCGAGGTCTAAATCCCCAATTTTGCAAAAAACCCCCAATTCCCCCAAAATACCTAATTTTTACCATGAAAGAACAAGATTTAAGACTAGGAATCCAACGGGTGATGTTGGAAATTGAAGGAAATGAGTTAAAGAGTACAAACCTATGATTTGGTGTTGAATTCCCTCTTCCAAAATCGCCCTAGGCCGAGTTCTAGTGAAAGAGTTGTGAAATTTTGAAAAATTCCCATTTCAGGTCTGTTTTTAATTCACTCGACAGGCCTTCTTCGTGTTCGCGAAGGGCCTGTCGCCATTGCGAGAAACAGCGGCCAAAAGGCCTACGCGTTCGCAAGTCTCACTACGCGTTCGCGAAATGCTGCTCCCCCCTGGCCTTCGTGTTCGCGTAGAAGAACAACTGACCCCTCCCCCAGGTCCCTAAGCCATCGCGTTCGCGTCGAGCTGGCCGCGTTCGCGAAGGGTAAGACTGCTCTGCGTTCGCGACCCAGTCTCCACGTTCGCGAAGAGTAAATTCCTCCCCAGCCCCGTTCCCCTTCACGATCGCGTGAGTGGCTTCGCGATCAGGAAGCACAAAGCATCAGCACACCAGTAGCAACAAATAAGTTCAAAACATCCCGTAGCCTATCCGAAACTCACCCGAGCCCTCGAGGCTCCAAACCAAACATGCACACAAGTCTTAAAACATCATACGAACTTACTCGTGCAATCAAATCTCCAAAATAACACCTAGAACTACGAATTTAGTACCAAATCACATGAAATTCTTAAGAACACTTTGAAATTCCTATTTTCACAACCGGATGTCCGAATCATGTCAAATTTGTTCTATTTCTCACCAAATTTCACAGATAAGGTATAAATATTGTTTTGGAGCCGGGCTCCAAAATCAAAATATGGGCCCGATACCAACAAGATCAAACATTAACAAAAATTTTAAAACCATTTAATTTTCTGTCTTTCAATTTTCATCAAAAATTCATATCTTGAGTTAGGGACCTCGAAATTCGATTTCAGGCATACGCCCAGCTCCCATATTTCGATATAGACCCACCGGGACTGTCAAAATACGAGTCCGAGTCCGTTTACTCAAAACGTTGATCGAAGTCAACTGAATCAACTTTTAAAGGCAAAAACTATTATTTTTATCAATTTTTAACATAAAAGCTTTCCGAAAATACGCCCGCACTGCGCACGCAAATCGAGGAGGAATAACATAAAGGATTTGAAGGCCTCGGAAGACGGAATCAGAATTCTAAAACATAAGATGACCTCTTAGGTCATCACAAGTATTCATATTTGAACCCTTTTCTTCTATTTGACGGTTTTTTTTGTCTTGGGGGATTAAGGGCTTTATCTGGGCCGTTATGATAACTTTATTCAAGAAGAACAATTAAATACATAGTTGGAAAATCTTATGAAGATATACACCAAAAAGATTTGGAAGAAAAATATAATACTCCCTCTGTTTCAATTTAGATAACATATTTCGCTTATCAAGATTTAATTTAATTAAATTTTGAGTTAATTGTATTAATTCAATTCAACATAATATTTAAATTTAAATATTCAAAAACTATACAAAAAGTATTATAAATTACAATTTTTCTCATGTCTATATAATAAAAAAATACATTTTGAAATATTGCTCAAACTTTACTTTGTTTGACTCTCGATAACCAAAATGTGTCGTCTAAATTGAAATGGATGGAATAATGGGGAAAAAGTAAAGTTACTCTAATTATATGAGAGATGTAAAGAGATTTTCATCGAAGTTCGTTAAGTTTTCTGTCAAGCAAATAATGATCTTCTTTTCACAAATTCCATGTAAAATTTAAAAAAAATTAATTTTACATCATACAAAATCCCAATCATCATCTTTTTAAAGAATACTTTTTGCAACTAATCATCTAAAGAAAGCTTTATTCTTTACACTTTGAGAGTCTTTAATAGAAAGAGATGAGTACATAGTAAGTAGGAAGCTTGAACCACAAAAAACACAGTTCCCAATTCCTTCAAACCGACAGGCAGTCCTCATTTTTCTTTTCAGCTCTCTCTCTCCCTTTCTCTTTTCCTACCTTTTCTCTTTTTGCCAAAGTTCTGATTCAGAAACCTACTACTCATATCACACTTGGTAACATCTTGTTTGGATGGTGTTAATTATAGTTTCGTAATATATCGTATAATATTGTATTGTATCATAATGTATCGTTTTAATGTATATAATATTTGGATAAATTGTATTGTTTTTCGTCATCAACAATATGAAGAATAAACTTACAATATTATAAAAAAGAAGTAAAGTACAAGGTAGAATTATTAGTATATAAAAAAGTTGGGTAAAAGATAATATTTAATAATTTGAAAGGACAAGACGAGAGGAAAAAATAAGGTATCGACTTGACCACACCAAATCGACCGTTCCATAAAGTGACACTTTTCATCGTAACGTAACGACAAATTTATATGCAATAAAATTTAAGTAACAATCAAAATAACATAAGGATACAATACAATACAACATGTAACATCCATCCAAAACAAGCTGATAGTAAATTGTTGCTCCTAATTGTACATTCTTTTATGACGATAGGATTCGTGCCAGCTTCATAAAAAAAGTGTATACCTAAATTAATTTGAATCAATCTTTATCATTCTTATAATTGTTTTGATTGCAGTATCTAGTTAATTCTTTCTAGAAAAGATATTAACCAGTCCAACTTCCAATTATCCCATCTGATGCCTTTATCCCTTTATATGATAGCCGAAAAGAAGAGAGAGAGAGAGAGAGACAATTTAGCTTTGCCTCACATGCTTTCCACTTTCTCAATACTAAACCAACAACTACAAGAAAAGAACAAAGCCTCCTCCTTTTTAACTCCTATTAATTCCCTTCACTTCTTCCCTTACTACATAACACACATAACCAAAAACAAAACTTGTTCTTCTTACCACTCTAAATCCAAGAATCCAAAATCTCCACTTCTCTATCTTTGATTTCTTCTTCAGAATACCCTACTAGTTTGCATTATTACAGTTTTCTGTATCGTGAGGATTCATCATAAATTGACAGTTTAGCGGCATAAGGCATAACCAAAAATAACTTCTTGCCACCCTAATAACTTCTTACCCTACTAGTTTTAAAGATTACAGTTTTCTGTACTGTGAGGATTTATCATAAATTGATAGTTTAGCGGCATGAGGACAGGTGGTTATACTTTTCAACAGTCATTAACTCCTGAATCAGCAAGTATAGTGAAACAAGCTGTAAACTTAGCTAGAAGAAGAGGACATGCACAAGTTACTCCTCTTCATGTAGCTAGTGCTATGCTTTCATCTTCCTCTGGACTTCTCAAAAGAGCTTGTCTTCAATCCCATTCTCATCCACTTCAATGCAAAGCACTTGAACTTTGCTTCAATGTTGCACTCAATAGACTTCCTACCTCAGTTTCATCTCCCATTTTAGGTCCTCATTCTCATCTCCCTTCTCTTTCTAATGCCTTAGTTGCTGCTTTCAAAAGGGCTCAAGCTCATCAACGTCGCGGATCGATAGAGAATCAACAACAGCCCATTTTAGCCCTTAAAGTTGAAATAGAACAGCTTGTTATTTCAATTCTTGATGATCCAAGTATTAGTAGAGTTATGAGGGAAGCTGGTTTTTCTAGTCCACAAGTGAAAAATAATGTAGAACAAGCTGTTTCTAGTTTGGAGATTTGCTCCAAAGAAATTACCACAAAACCAGTACTAGTCCTAGGAAATACCAACATGTCACAAATAACATCATCAGCTAGTGTTCTAAATTTGTCACTTAGTAAATCAGGATATCAAGTGAAGAATGATGATGTGATGAGTGTTGTGGAAACAATGATGAAAAGGAAAAATGTAGTTCTAATTGGAGAGTGTTTGGCAACAGCTGAGGGAGTTGTTAGAGGAGTTATAGATAAGTTTGATAAAGGAGAAGTTTCAGGAGACATGAAACATGTGCAGTTTATAAGTGTCCCACTTTTTACTTTAAGAAATATTTCAAGAGAAGAGTTTGAGATCAAACTTAGAGAGCTAAGGACTTTAGTGAAAAACTATATTAATAGAGGGGTTGTTTTGTATTTAGGTGATCTTAGGTGGGTGTCTGAGTTTTGGACAAAATATGGTGAACAACAAAGGAATATGAGCTACTATTCTCCTGTGGAGCATATGATAATGGAACTTAGTAGATTGTTGAGTGGTGCAATAGGGGAAAATGGAAGGCTGTGGATTATTGGAATTGCCAGTTTTCAAACTTACATAAAATGTAAAAGTGGACATCCTTCTTTACAGACACTTTGGGATCTTTATCCTCTTACTATTCCTGTTGGAAGTTTGGCTCTTAGTCTCAACCTTGAGAGGTACTTTCTCAAAACTTACCATTTTTGCATTATCTCTTCCAAAAGAATTTTTTTTAAAAGGGCAGGCCGGTGCACTAGTAAGCTCTCGTTATGTGCGGTGTCCGGGGAAGGGCCGGAGGTCTATTATACACAATCTTACCTTGCATTTCTGCAAGAGGCTGTTTTCACGGCTTGAACTCTACCAGTTACGTCAAGGCTCCCCTCCCGAAAGAATAAAGATAGCAAAAAAGGATATTTATTTTCTCTCTCTTTACACTTTCTTGTTTTGTTTTTTTTCAGTGATTTGCATAGTCACTTGAGAAGCAAGGCAGCAATGGATGGTTCAAGCTGGTCACTTGGTAGAGTTGGAGTTGAGAAGCAACTGACTTGCTGTGCTGATTGTTTGGCCAATTTCAAAAGAGAAGCTAAAACCATCTCAAGCATACAAGTTAAAACTGAGTCTACTACCACTTACTCCAGCTCAAGTTTGCCTTCTTGGCTCCAAAAGTATAAGGAAGAACACAGACAAGCTAACAATGATCAGGTACTTATTCATATCCCATTAATCCCAATATTAATTAAGCATGCATGAAAATTCTGATATACACTAGTTATTTATTAAAGAAAGAATTTAAGTTATATACATTGCTTGTCTGTATATTTTATATATCTTATTTTCCAACTTATTAATCCACCTTTTAGTGAACGGTTACAGTTATCTTTTGGTGACCTGATAGTTTAAAAGTTCTTTTATACTGTCAGTGGATAGAAGTTAAACTCTTTAAAACAAAAAACTAAATTCTTTCTTGGTTCTGCTTGTTTAACAGGAATCTGAAATGAATATGGTAAATCTATGCAAGAAGTGGAACTCTATTTGCAATTCTGTCCATAAACAACAACCTCATTTTCTTGAGAAAGGCTTTATTAGTCCACTATCTTCACCATCTCCTTGTTCATCTAATTCAATATCCTCTTCAAATGACCATCACATTAAAAGCTCCAGCAAGTTGCATAAGAGCCTTTTGAATTGGCCTGTGATATTTGAATCAAATCAATCACCAAAAGAACATCAATTCTTCACATCTGAAAATGAGGCTGAAACCAAGCCAGAGCTTCTATCTAATCCCAATTCAAGTCCTAACTCAGCTTCCTCAAGTGAAGCAAGTGGATACATGGAGAATATTGATAGATTCAATGAGCTTAATTCAGACAACATGAAAATCCTTTGCAAGGCATTGGAGAAGAAAGTCCCATGGCAAAAAGACATAATTCCTGAGATAGTTAGTACAATTCTTGAATGTAGGTCCAAAAAGGAAGAAACTTGGCTATTCTTTTTAGGTGCTGATTTTGAAGGAAAAGAGAAAATTTCAAGGGAATTGGCAAAAATTGTTTTTGGTTCAGAAGATAGCTTTATATCCATTGGAATTAGTAGCTTTTCATCATCAACAAGAGCAGATTCAACTGAAGAAGTGAGTAACAAAAGATCAAGAAATGAACATGGGAAGAGTTATCTTGAGAGATTTGTAGAATCAATTCAAGAAAATCCAAGTAGAGTTTTCTTACTTGAAGATATTGAGCAAGTTGATTCTTTTTGTCAAAAGGGTATCAAGAAAGCTATAGAAACTGGTAGTTTTACACTTGCTGATGGTGATTTAGTGTCATTTAAGGATGCTATTTTCATTTTCAGCTCTGAGAGTTTTAGTTCAGTTTCTAGAGCTTGTTCTCCTCTAAAGAAATGTCATGATGATCAAGTTAAGGAGATCAAAGATCAAGAAAATGGAGATGAAAGTGTTCCTTCAGTATTAGATTTGAATATTGCAACTGAGGAAAATGGAGATGAAAATAATTTGGTGTCTCATGATATTGGCATTTGGGAAGCAGTGGATAAACAAGTCATTTTCAAGATTCAAGTCTTGTGAAAGGATCAGTGATGTTAGAAACTCAGCTGTTGTAATTTTCCCCCTTTTTTTTTTTAATGTTTTAGTGGTAGTAGCTTTTAATTCAGTGATCTACAAATACGGGGAGGGTATAATTAAACTGAGATTAACTGAAGAAGAAAATAGGTCCCTTAGATTAGATATGGAGAGTTTGATGTAGGATTTCATGTACATTAACACCTCTTTGATCTTTGTAATACTATATAATATTAATGCTGAACTTTAATTTGCTTCCATATACTTCGATCATATTAGTTTTCTATGTCTTCATCATATTTTGCCACCATATATTTTAATTCGACTATGTTTAGTAGCCATGTTTCCTCTTCCTCAATTACAGCTGTGACCTAAAAATGCAAGAGATTTATCTTATACGAGTTTAATTTCCATATACTAACGACATATAAAAGAATTTTTGCAGTATCATATTACCTAAAAGATAATTGTAGGTAGTTGTTCAACATAATGGAACTAGTTATCTAGAAAATAAACCACAGAACGTAGCCACTACAATAGGTTATCATATTACACTAATAGTATTAAAATTATTTTATCAGAATATATAAGTTAAATCCAATTAAAATGCAAGAGATTTTTTTTTTTTTATATTACGCATATCTCTTCTTGCATGGCTTCAAGATTATTGTCATAGAAATCTTATCATAACTCGATAAAAGATAAAATAAGGAAGAAATGTTTGTAGATATTTTTTCAATAGACAAACCAATAAGTTGATCCTTTCATGCATCTAGGGAGAGTAGCTGGGTTAAGTAAAAATAGAAGCAAGTGTTCGAGGATAAGAATGCCATGCAAAAGAGACAAAAATGAAAACCAAAGGAACAAAAATGAAAACCGATGCAATTCCATGCACGTCGAAACAATACTTCTTTGCAACTTTCACTTAAAATATTTTCTTTGGAAAAGAGTTATCTACCCCATCCTTAAGCATATGACTTAACTTTTCTTTTCTTTCCGCACTTCTTTATCTATACGAAGATTTTAGGGTGACAAGCAAGCAAGTCGGATCGACTATGAGCAGGTTGAAAATGGGTAATGCAAACATACTCGATAATACTTATCTTTAATACGGATAGAAATGGGTTGATCGGCCGATAATATAATATGGATATCCATATTATCCATGGCTTCTTGAATATGGTCACTTTTAGAAAAAATTCCTAGTCTCTCAAACATAAGTAACCCCCAATTTGAGTCTTTGCGAATATAAAAAGTTAAACTTATTGGTTATCCGTTGGTTAAGTGGATAATATGGATCTTATCCACATTTGACCTATATTTTAAAAGTTCATTATCCAACCCATATTTTAGTTAATAATATGAATAAATAATTATTTTATATCCGCTTTGCCATCAATAGGCAGATTGTATGATCGAAAGAACCTAAGCTTAAAATTAAAGTTTGTGATTCATAACGTAAGGGCGCGGCTATGCCAAATTAAAGTGACTTTTTCATTTGGAGGAAAGAAGTTCAAAATACTGAGGAAAAGAGGGCATATTACTTTTGAATATTTTGTAAGGTTGTACATATATATATATATATATATATATCAAATTTTCATGCAATATTTGTTCTTTTGGGATATATAACATACAAGTGTAGGTATACATCAAAAGCTTGAGGGGACGAATCTCAAATTTGAATATAAAAGGAAATAATAACTTTAGAATCAATAAAAGCAGAATACAATTAGTTAAAGGTTTTAAGATTATAACCACTAATCTTATTTTGGAATTTAATTAATTTGTTTCTTCATGAAGAAGGTGTAGAACAAATCTTCTTTAATTTTCTTAAAAACATAAACTCTTGCCTACCCAAAGGGCCTCTTTCTCTTTTTAACTTAACTAGAAACTCCTTTTGTTGTATAGTGTTGGAATAAAATCCCCTTTTCCTTTTTCTTTTCCTTTTAAATTAAGTTTCAAGTGAGATTTTTCTTTTCAATTTTCTCATCTTTTAATTTACTTTTGTCTTTTCATGCTTATCTTCCTAGTCTAAAGAAGCAGAAAAGAATTTAGCATTATCCCCTAACCAGTTCAACTAGTCAAGAAGTGATAAAAGTGCTGACAAAAATTCTGCTTCTTTTCTTTGCAGTTTAGTTATATCTTTTTTAGAATTTATTCTTTTTCCTTTTTTTTTCCCAACTTTATTCTGCTATACCTAGCTTGATTTCGGTGACACTAAAATCTTTTTAAGCAATATACACCTTTTTGTACCAATAAAAAATCACAACTCATCGCGTTGCAGGAGCCATAAATTCTAATAAGGGGATTCAAAAATTATTAGGCTGACACTCAATTTGATTTACACTAAAGGTTTTTCTCATACAAGGAGATTCAATAATTTATATATATGTATAAACAAATCCTTTGGTTTTGCTTACATGCACGATATAATTTTCTGACAAAAGGAATTTTATTACGACTGCATGTTATAAAAAAAATTAAAGATAATTAAAGAAACTTTTTTCGCCAGTACTAATCAAGATGGATATATAAATAAGTATTTCAACGTCTTTTTGATAACTTGATCGAATATGAACATATCTATATATGTAAATTTTTTGCTTTTTTACTTGTAGATTTGTCTCCATTAAAGACAAAAGAGAAGATCAATATCATGAGACAAGAAAGAAACTGGTCCGTGTTTATTCCTTACAACAAAAAAAAAAAAAAAAAAAATAAGTTTTTTCCACATTAGTGTTGTTATAGACAATATGTCTCATCAAGATTAGTACTTCAATAGTCAGCTCTCAAAATCTTTTCAAGCTTTTGATCCTTTCATATTTGATCGATTTATTAGAATCAAATTAGTCGTCATAGGTAGTCCAAGCTTTTAGGTTAATAATATAAGCTTTTTAGAAACAATATGGTAGTTAGTGGGAGCCCATGTCAGTTTGACATTACCCTCGAGCTTTGTTCCCATTATGCCATAAACGATGGATGAAGATCATCACAAAAAAGTATCACATCATTATCTATTCATAAAATAAAATAAAAATAAAAAAAAATAGCAATTCAGTGTACATGAGAATTCCATTAAAAGGTAATATTTTAATTTAAGAAGAAATTGTTGTGTCTAGTAGGATGCAGCTTATAAGGCACATTTATATGCCGAGATTTTTGAAAATTTGATCTAGACAAATCAATATCACAAAGCTATAAAGATAAAGTAAACTCTTGTTTTCCCTCTTAATCTTTTTTATGTTGCACTACACTATTACATTCACATGTTCGATGGGATATATAAAAAATATCCACATTGATCCAAAAATCGAAAAAATTAATAATAACTTAGTTGAAGACTTGAGGCCAACATTCTCAATCTTTTTTATACCATTTAATTTTTGTATCAATCAACTACATCTTAGTCAATGAATGAAATTATATACAAAGACACAATTATTCTAATGGACGGAACTTTGAGACAAATGAGGCCGGGAAAACAAAGGGTAAAGTTGTGAAAAGTTCTCTTTCCACAATGAATAATTACCCAATAATATCTTATAAAAATTATAATTATTTACACCATTGGACACTAATTAAACTTCAGTACATCATATTTGCTACAAACCTTTCTTATGATTAGAACCTAAATTTTTAACTATAGCGTTATGTGTCCTATTAAATGTGTATAATTACAATTATGAAATCCTTTAACTAATCAATATAACATTGTTTTCATATTCACGTTATTCTCAAATATTTCATATTTGAGAATAGTTCATCATGTTCAAGGAGAGCCTTGGAGCAATGGTAAAGTTGTCTTTATGTGACCTATAGGTCACGGATTCGGGTCGTGGAAGCAACCACTAATGTGTGTATTAGGTTAGACTGTCTACATCATATCGCTTAGGATGCTGCCCTTGTTTGCGGGATGCCATGTGCACTGGCTGCCATTTTTAGTTCATCAGGTACATAGGTAAAATTTTAGAATGTTTTTATAAAAGATTTGAAACGCTGGAAAATATTACCTGAAATTTTTTTTTTAATCACACTCAAGAGGTCAAGAAATTAATGTTTGTCCACAATAAAATGTTACGCAGATTAATTGAATTTTATTGATTAAAGAAAGAGAAGAAAATTTACAAACTGAAAGGTGAAATTCGAAATGCTCCGACATAAGGGGACCTTTTGTTTCTTTGATTCTGGAGCCTCAACAACTTGGATGTCCCTCATGCTAAGTTGCTAAATATTGTTGACTGAAATTTTGCAAAATTTCAAACTTACAATCTTATCTATAAATAGTAGTCCGATACTCCAATTAATTCGGATTCACATAGTGTGGGGCCCATCAACACTCTCCATCAGGAGTTTCTTTATTTTCATGACTCGAATCAGAAACCTCAAATTAAGGATAGAGAGATTTCATCACCAGACGCCTTAACCGTAAATCTTATGCTTCTAACAGTTATGGTTTTTTTTCCCGGAGTATTAGCTTAGTGTTTCCCCCTTAATTTTTGGCCTTTTCTTTTTGTTCTCAAGCCAGATTATATAGTACTAAAATTGTCAAAAGAAAGATAAACCTCGTTAGCTGCACAAGTAGCCACTACTGAATTGTTAATACACATGAAATAATGAAGGGAAAACAATGCTATCTTCATAAGTCATAATTATAGTTCCGTTGGCTATCTATCTGTACATTTAATAATTGTGTTTGTTTCCCTATGACCAATGATTGTACTAAAAAAAAAATTCTGTAGCTCTAAAGGCCAGCCAGCAATTATAAATTTCTCAACATGATCTAGAAATGATTACTATTGAAAAAAAAAAGGAATGAGAAGAAAAAGTAAAGGGCAGGCACTAATATGTCCTTTTAGGGTTTTATTAATGGCCATAAGGTTAGAATTATAAATGTGTACACTTTTAAAAGGCAACGCAACTTTTATCTTTCATTGCCAGTAGTACAGTCTAACCAAGACCAAGACAAGCTTCTACACTTCAAACCTTTTTAGTTTTAAAGGGAAGAATATAATAGGAATTGGGATAAGGTGGTGGGTGGGAACTAACGCTGGAATAATAAGTATTCTTTCCTTCTCAATTAAATATCTCGATCGAGTTCGAGCCATGAGCATAAAACTATTTATCTTTGTTATGAAGCGTTCTACCCCCAAATATAATATTTTTAAGAGCGAATTTGAATTTAGTCGGACTCAATACAGTACCGAACATCGGGTTGGAATATTAAAAAGAAGAGGTGGTGGG